GGTACCACTAACAGTAGTGACAATGCACCTAGGTCCAGGATTTGTAAACTTCACAGTCTCCAAATAGTCTCTCAGCCTCTTATATTGCTTCTTGTGATCACCAAGCACAATCTCTTTTGCTTTCTTCTTAGCCCTCCATGCCATCATCCTAGGAATCTCAAGCCCAAATTGCCTCTTTGCCTTGTCAACAATAGCAGGTACAGTAGTGTTGGGATCTGATCTGATGGTCTCAAGCATTTTGTTGCCAAGCCACCTTGAACTAATCCTAGTTTTCTCAGACTGGGTGGGACATGTGTGCTCCAACCTCATCTTCTTAATGCAGAAAGTGGGCTCATTTGTTATCTGTGCTGCTACCATGTAGAACTGACAACCATCTCCCTCACAGCAAACAATTACCCTATCACTGCAGTTTCTGTGGTATTTATATCTTCTAAGTTGTTTCACATGCAAATTGACAAGGGCCTCTCTGAATTGGTAAACATCTTTGAAACAGAGCTTTAGCTGGAATTGCTGTTCTGGATGCATCTTGTCCTCATCATACCAGACCCTAGGTGGTCTTTTCTTAGCCCTACTCCTTCTGCCAGAGCTGATAACAAAGGACATTGGTTCATTTCCATCATCATCTGCTTCAAAGCCTGTATCTTCCTCTTCTGAAGATGGAAACCAATCAGGATTAATGCTTGGACCATCACTAGAGTGGGACCTACTAGTAGGACCTGGCCTCTTTGCCTTCTTCTTAACAGGCTCAGGAACTGGAATCTCTTGGGCCTCCTCATCATCTTCTTCCTGCTCCATGTCATATATATCTTCAGGATCTGTGTCCCCCTCACAGTGTGTACTTGACATATATTCAGCTCTTCCTCTTTATTTCAGAAAGAGTTTCATCTAGCTCAGGTTCCTCTGTCCTCCTATTTGCAATTTGTTCTTCTACATACTGCACTGAATCTGAGTCATCTTCTTCTTCTCCTGCATCTAAGTGGTCAACATCAACTACAAAATCTTCATCACTGCTTGAACCTTCCTCACTAACTGCATTGTCCTCCTCATTAGTGTCCATGCCTACAGGAATTGCTTCCTCACTAACTGCATTGTCCTCCTCATCTGAATCAAACTGAAAATCAGCATAATTGACACTTACTTCAGTGTTAAGCTGTGTCCCAAGATGGAACTGATAGTTAGGAGGAACTGATTTGAGTGGCAAAAAATTTACACTTTCCTGTGTCCCAAGATGTAACTGACAGTTAGGAGGAACTGTTTTGTGCACAACACCTGATTCAGCAATAGCAAAAACAACATGTGCCTCTTTTTCTATTTGCTGTGCATGTTGATCTTCTCCAACTGCTGGTTCAATAACTACCTTTCCCTTTCTAACTGTCAGTGACAATGTCTGGGTGCTCTCAAATTGTCTCACCATGTGAACTACTTCAATGTTGCCTTTAATCACACAAACACCTTGCAGCCCTATATTTTCATCTTTCAAGTAGCAAAGACTGTCATCCTTACAGTATCCATTGCTGACCATTACATTGACCAAACTACCATAAGTGATTTCTCTTTCAAAAATCTTAACAAGAGCATACTTCTCTCTAGGAAACTGGAAATAGATTGACCATAAATCTTCAGGCCTAAAATAGACATACAAATGAATATGAACAAGTCAATTGTATTAACATAACTGACCATTATATCTGACAATTATAATGAACTATTTTAAATTATAGCAACATGGCAAATCAGTACTAACATTACTACCAGTGTAAGCAAAATTTTAAATTACAGTAACATGACAATGCAGTATAAGCAATTCAGGCCTAAAATAGACATATATTAACAAGACAATATCTACAAGCCTAATATAGCTCAGACTGGTTACAATGCAGTGTAAAGCATTACAATGCAGTGTAGTGTAGCAATACCATAAATGAAAACTACAATGTGATTTTCTCCAAAAATTCAGAACCATACAATACTACTAAGATAACTGAACCCTAACTAAAGATATGATAGTCGACAAATATTCAGGACTACAATCACTTCTAAATGACTAACAAATCAATGTTTAAAACAGATCCTGCAGTAAGGAGAAAAGATTGAAAGAACAGATTTTGAAAGATTCAGATTACCTAGCTGAAGATGGGACAAACGGGAGCACATCCGCGGGACCAATCTGCGAAGCTGCTTCCTCGGTACCATGCTCCGGCGACAGGCCCGCCGCCGCGGCAGACTCTGGATCTAGGTCGCAGCCGCCATCGGTGTGGGGGCCGATGACCCCGCATTGCGAGCGCAACAGCTTCTGCCCTGAAGTAGTACCAAGGCCCTCGCCGCTGAGTGCGGCATCGCCGCTTCCGTCGACTCCGTGCGCGCCGTCGCCGCCGGAGCTGGTCGCCATCGGAGCGGAGCGGGGAAGGACTGAATCGACTGGATTGAATCGAGCGGGGGAAGGGAACGGCTTGACCTCGTAGACGGGCGCGCCGAAACGGCCGTCTCTCGCCGTCTAACGGCGTCCGTCAACACGTGCCACGTCAGCCCGACATGCGGGACCAACCTGTCGGATTCGCTGTTTTCGGGGCTAAAACGCAGCGTCAGTGCTCCGCGTTACAAATTAGACCCATTGTTGGTGGTTTTGTGTGATCTGCCTGAAATGTGGTACCGATCTGTTACCCTAGCCCATAATATGGTGGTTTTGGGTAAATATCTCAAAGAAACAAGAACTCGCCAGTTCGCACAATGGAGGGCCGAGCAGCACACACAAAGCCATCAGATGCGGAAGAAGAACCAGCAGTAATGGTCGAACCTATAGAAAAAAAAAGCAAGAAGTTAGCCACAATATTCAAAACAGTTGAAAGAAACGCACAAGAACAATCAGAGGCACTCCCATATGTAGGAAGAACCCAACGCACTTACCAACAGTGCAATCAACAGGCCGCTTCCCTAATGAAATCTCTCGATGGCGGCTATCAAGATCTTCACTAAGAAACTGGTCCGAGTCCAAACGCTGGCCACCTATGAAATCAAATAACCCAATAAGATGACCGCACTCTACTGCAAGTACACAAGGACAAGTAAACCCACCAGGCAGGCAAGAACGAAGTGGCCGGTGAGCCGTAGAGCGGGCACGCCGCCTGAACGAACCACAAGCAACTGACCACGCACAACAGCGTCGAGAACGACCTCGGCGGCGACGTCCAGACCGGGCAGAAGCAGGAAAAACCATTCCCAAATCAACACATGCCACCACTAGTTATAGTTGAAAAGGAAAGAGCACAAATGGGAGAAGCCGGAATGGAAGAAGGAAAGAGCACAAATGGGGAGAGCCGGAATGGAAGACGGACGAACAACCGAGCCGGTATTTATAGCAAGCAGCCGAGAGCCAAAACCCAACTTCAAAGCAACGACTGCAGACGGTGCAGAAACACCCAGAACACCGTACGTAAGCGGCAGCCGACAGATGGGAAATTCAGAGAGCCCGGGCAGCAGGCGACTCGAAGACAGCGGACTTGTCGGCAAAAGAGCAAGTAGACATGCAGAAACAGACAAAACAGAGATTAGATGCCGTGGGCAACTCGACATGTCCATTGCAAAGAACCAATCAGGAACCGACGAGGAAAGCCCGGGGCATGCAACCAATGGGCAGCTGTTTCTTGAATTTAGAATGCTTTCCAACGGCGGCCGCTAGACACGCCCAGCCGCGTACCCCCCCAGGCCCCCACTAATACACGTGCCACCCACCCATTCGTGCGAGTTTCAATTGTAAGAAAAATTCAAAATAACATGAAAAACTAAACCTGGCCAGGTTTAGTATATGTATAATTTTTATTAATAGTAATTAATAATCCAGTAATTAGGAAAGTAATAAAGTGTAAATGAAAATTTTAAATATAGTAAAGACGCGGTGAACAACAGCGTCCCCATATGGACGCACATTCACCATCTGGTTGGGTTGAGCCTGCTCGTGGTTGCTGCATCCATCTCGTGCCTGTCGCCCACCTTCATCTCCTCTCCTATCACGGCCGGCCCTAGCCTCCGGCAAATCCCCGCCGCCCACCTTGCTCGGACCGCCTCAGCCTCCGCCTCGCCCCCCACCTCCTCACGACCGGCTCGGCCTCCGCCTCGTCCCCCGCCTCCTCACGACCGCCCCTCCCTCCGTCCCATCCCCGACGCCCACATCCTCACGGCTGGCCCCGACCTCCTCTGGGCCAAAGAGGGTGGGCGGAGGACGTCGCTGTGGCGGCATCAGCAAGTTGGCCGGAGGTGTTCGACCCTCTCCCTTATCTCCATTGCTTCTATGTACGCCGTCCCTATCATTGTTGGATCTTCCCAGGGTGCTACATTGTAATTTGTCGTCATAGAAGGTACGCATTGTGCTATTCCCTAATTAAACAACAGTACTCCGACCACTCATTCTACTAGCCCCTAATTAGTGATTACAGTGTCGATGCTTTCAAATTAAACTGTACAAGGAGCAGATGCTTTGAAATTACTTCTGACTAAGGATTTACTACTTGTCTCTTTATTCTATCTAATAGATTCATATGAAAGTAACATTTATGAAATAATATAAATTAGTTCCTTGTCTTTCATAAAAGGTATTCTGCATCGAACCAAAATATTATAAATTTCAGAACTGTTACGAAATAACATAGTACTTGAGCAGCTGAGCATAATTGATTCCTATGCTATTTTCTTGTAGCTTTACTGATTACACTGACTGTAGGCATAGCTGAAAACATTTGATTGTTTGAGTTTTATTTATCAGTGTAGTATTGTGAAGAATAAATTCAATTGATTGCTTTGATCTTTCACGTCAACATCTTACTCATTCTTTTTATGCCGCAACAGGGTCTTGAAATGGATACAAATGGATGTTTCAGTGATTTGCTATGGATGCCTCACAGCCAACACAAAATATCCAAAACTTGGGAAAATGTGAGTATCCTTTAAATTCGCATGTCATCTGTTAGACTTAGCGATTAACTAAAGACTAATTGTTGTGTGTATTGATGCAGCCTAACATTTGTTTGAATGTACAGTGTCATCATGTTGGCATCCCATTTGACCCCCTATGTACATCAGCTTTAGAGAACCTTAGTTTTTATCAGATTGCTAAGATGAGGAAAATCAATGTCGACAAATATTTGATATCGGCATTGGTGGAGCGTTGGCGGCCCGAGACAAATAGTTTTCACCTACCTGTAGGAGAAATGACTATTACGTTGCAAGATGTCAGTTGTTTGTGGGGGTTGCCTATCCATGGTAAACCACTTGTTCGAAAAGCTGATGCACAGTGGTCAGAAATAGTTGAGAGGTTGCTTGGGATTCCTGTGGATGAACAACACATGAAACAAAAGAAAAGGCGAAAAGGTGATGATAATGCTGTTGTGAGGAATTCACAATACTCTTTAAATCTGGGTAAATTGCGGGAACGCTTCCATGTGTTGCCGGATAATCCAATGGACAGGGAGATTAATTGGCATGCTCGAGCACTTGTTCTAGAAATTCTTGGCTCCATAGTTTTTACCGATACGTCTGGAGATGGAGTGCCAGCTATGTATCTCCAATTTATGCAGGATTTAGGACAACCAATAGAGTATAATTGGGGAGTTGCTGCTCTTGCTCTATTGTATAGACAATTGAGCATAGGTGCTGAGAAGGAGAGACTAGAAATTTCAGGTCCTTTATTGCTGCTACAGTTATGGTCTTGGTCCCGTTTGCCACTTGGTCGCCCTGAAGTTATTTTTGAGAAGCCCAAAGAAGGAGAGGAACTTGATGAAGAGGAAGAAGAACAAGAAGTACACTTGGATTATAACCCTATTTTTGGAGCAAAGTGGTGTGTTGCACATGCGTTTGATGTCCCTCATAGTGCTGGTATTTTATTCTCCTCACCAAATTTGTGTTGGCATCATTTGTTTTATGACAAACAATTTTATTAACTTGCAAATGAAATATATAGGTACTGAATATTATCGAAATCAGATTGACTTGATTCGACAAGGTGCAGTTGATTGACAACCATATGATGATCTTCTAGAGCAGATGCCTTTTGAAGTTCATCAAGATTCTAATTGGTGGTTTGCTAGAGTACCACTCATACCTTCATCTGTTGTCGTCTCCGTTAGTATAGATATGTCACTAAAGGCTCTCAGACCATTCTATCCACATCTATACATGAACGGAAATGCATTAACATGATGTGCAACTCTTGGTTTTGAATCTTCGTCTGAACTCTGGCTCGGTGCGGCAATAGAATCATGCTCATCGTCATCATCATGTCCCATCAAGTCCTCCTCTGGATCTGTATCCTCCTAGTCAAATGATTCATTAACAGTACTTGTTGGCAAATCATTTTTCATATTACCCTGAGTGGAAGATGGAGCTAGCATTTTCCCTGTAAAAATCAGGACCACGTGTATTACTATTTGAGAAGGCACTAACAGATGTTTGATGCAATGGTGATTGTATTGCATTTCCATACCTTTGTGATTGCCTTTCAATTATTGGTATGCTGCTTCCACCGCTGACTTGGCTCAACATGTCTTGATTTGGCGTGAAATTAACATATAACTCTATCACTTGCCACGTTGTCCGGGACTTGGTCTTCTCAAAAATCATGTTCCACCCTCTTTCCTCATATAGTGGAATTAATTGAAAATAATGTGGTCCGGGAGATCCAATATCATAACGAGCTTGGATATTGAGGTTGTTTTGAGCACCGACATTAACATGCCCAAGCCCTTGACATGTCTCACTCTTGATGTCTTCAAAAGTGGTTTTCTCGCATGCTGGAAATGTTAAGTTCAGAGGAACACTATACTCCACACCCATGGATCCATGTTTCACTTCACCATCTACATAAACCAGAACGATTAACATGTTCTTATACTCACCTACAAACACGAACGTGTAGGAAGTGAATAACCCAATCTTAAATTGATATACTACAAACTAATGATTGAAAATTTGGCTTCTCATGGACTAGCCAATTAAGAACCATAACCTAGGAACAACAATCCAATAATGTATAATGTATCCACTTGTAAATCATTGAATCAGTTGTATAGACGATTCAAACAAGAAAGATGCAGTAGGATCGTAGAACAACTAACATGAATCAACAACAAGATCGATTGGAGGATCCCAATGGAGAGTGGGTGGTGGGACGATGCCGCCCCTCAGTGTTGTCGGCCGCGGGAGGGTGCTTACCGTACGTCGTGGTCAAGGATCGACGACTGCATGCGTACTAGGGTTTATAGCCCATGGAAGTTCCATAAGTCAGTACGAAATGACCCGGTTTAGTCCGATCTAAGGGGTAGGCCAAACTCTTAAATGGACGTTGTTTGCCATAGCATCCAGGCCTGGACGTTGTCTACAATAGCGTCCAGGCCTGGACGCTGTCTACAATAGCATCCGGGGCTGGACGCTGTCCTCAATGGCGTCCTTCCTATTTGTCAAATTTTCGCCCACCCTTAACTAGTTTCATAATTACTCAATTATTAATTACTATTAATAAAAAAATTGGTGCATAGGTGCTTGTCTACGCAGAGAGACATGACGGTGACCCCATGATTTGGCTAGCTGGGCAAGGTGTGACGGCACATTGGCGCGGCGAGGAGGTTGACATCGTGTAATTCTATCTGTTGAAGAGTGAAAGAATCCTAGGACAGGCCACAAGAGCGAGATGAACCCTTCACATCCAATTCTATTGATTCAAGTAATGCACGGTTCCCCTGGAGCCTACTTCACCTCATGCGATCAGTCCGGCAACTTTTAGTGGTATGTTAGGAGGAATTGCGGCTTGGCGGGCAGTCTGGCCCCACTTGCATCCTGAAATGACATGCCCAGTTGTCCACATATTCACAGTATGTTAACCTTAAAGGTAATGACTCTCCTACAATATCAACCCCTCCAAATGATAAAGTGGCAGCAACTGAAGGCTTTGGCTCATCTAAGAAACCACATGCTGGTATAAAGCGACCTAGAGGTGTAAAACCACCAAGTAAGAAGTCGATGAAGCAGCCTAAAAGTAGTTTCACTGATGCTATTGAACATATCACCACCATAATAAAAGCAATCCAACAAACTCTTGCAAATGCTCCTCCTGTGCAGTTGCCACAACTTGTTGAGCCCAATGATGTATTGCGGCAAAGGCTTGAGGCGATAAATATTGGTATTGAATATAGGATTCTTATCGATGAATATCATGCACACTCGGACAACAAGGGTGTCCGCAGTTTTCTATCCTGCAACCATGACAAAACTTTGGATACTTTTGGGTTTAGCAATTTATTTGCAAGCATAAAGATCAACAGCAACTATTTGTACGGCGTGTTTGGACATCAAACGGGTGCCAAACACCTTCCTCCCCTTCCCGCTTGTTTCCCGTTGTAGCAGGACATTTCTCGTTGGAGTCTTCTCCTTTAAAATCGGGTGATGTCCATCTCACCTTTGTCGCCATAGCGCCCTCCCGCCTTCACACAATACTTCCTCACAGACTGCCAAGGAGGAGTCCCTTGCCTAGTGTAACGCCCTCGATGCGGCTATATCTCCCACGTGTCGAAGCACGACTTAGAGGCATAACCGCATTGAAAGCAATGTCGCAAGTGAGGTAATCTTCACAAACAACCCATGTAATACAATAAGGAAAAAGATACATAGTTGGCTTATAATCGCCATTTCACGCAAATACATGAATAAAGCATTACATCAACCAGATACAATCAAGGTTCGACTACGAAACCAAAATAAAAGAAGACTACCCCGATGCTACACAGATCTCCGATCGACCCCAACTGGGCTCCACTACTGACCAACTAGAACAAAACAACACAAAGGATAAGATCTTCATCGAGCTCCTCCTTGAGCTTGGTTGCGTCATCTGCACGGTTCGACGGCACCTGCAAGCTGGTTTTTGGAAGTATCTGTGAGTCACGGGGACTCAGCAATCTCACACCCTCGCGATCAAGACTATTTAAGCTTATGGGTAAGGTAAAAGGTATGAGGTGGAGCTGCAGCAAGCGACTAGCATATATGGTGGCTAACATACGCAAATGAGAGCGAGAAGAGAAGGCAAAGCGCGATCGAGAAACTATGATCAAGAAGTGATCCTAGAACAACCTACGTCAAACATAACTCCAACACCGTGTTCACTTCCCGGACTCCGCCGGAAAGAGACCATCACGATTACACACGCGGTTGATGTATCTTAATTAAGATCAACTTCAGGTTTTCTACAACCGGACGTTAACAAATTCCCATCTGCCCATAACCGCGGGCATGGCTTTCGAAAGTTCAATCCCTGCAGGGGTGTCCCAACTTAGCCCATCACAAGCTCTCATGGTCAACGAAGGATATTCTTTCTAGCGGGAAGACCCGATCAGACTCGGAATCCCGGTTACAAGACATTTCGACAGGTAAAACAAGACCAGCAAAGTCGCCTGATGCGCCGACAAATCCCGATAGGAGCTGCACATATCTCGTTCTCAGGGCACACCGGATAGGTCAAGCTACGAGTAAAACCAACCCTCAAGTTGCCCCGAGGTGGCCCCGCGGGCTGCCCATTTCGGACCAACACTCAGAGGAGCACTAGCCCCAGGGGTTTTTAAAATAAAGATGACCCTCGGGCTCGCGAAAACCCAAGGGAAGGTTATAGGTTGTTAGTGCAAATGGTAAAACCAAGGTTGGGCCTTGCTGGAGGAGTTTTATTCAAGGCGAACTGTCAAGGGGTTCCCATTATAACCCAACCGCGTAAGGAACGTAAAATCCGGAAATATAACACCGATATGACGGAAACTAGGGCGGCAAGAGTGGAACAAAACACCAGGCATAAGGCCGAGCCTTCCATCCTTTACCAAGTATATAGATGCATTAATTAAATAAGATATATTGTGATATCCCAACAAGTAAACATGTTCCAACAAGGAACAACATCTCCATGTTCCAACAAGGAACAAACTTCAATCTTCACCTGCAACTAACAACGCTATAAGAGGGGCTGAGCAAAGCGGTAACATAGCAAAATAACGGTTTGCTAGGACAAGGTGGGTCAGAGGCTTGGTTCAACAATATGGGAGGCATGATAAGCAAGTGGTAGGTATCGCAGCATAGGCATAGCAAAGGAGCGAGCAACTAAGCAAGCAAAGATAGAAGTGATTTCGAGGGTATGGTCATCTTGCCTGAAATCCCGCAAGGAAGAAGAACGATTCCATGAAGAAGACAAACGGACGTAGTCGAACGGATCCTCAGAACACGACGTTATTGGAACCAACCCGAAGAAGCAACACCGAAAAGAAGCAAACAACATAGTAAATAAACAACACATGGACATGGCATGATGCACAACCAAATATGATGCATGTTCGGTTTAAAGAGGGCATGGCATGGCAAAGTGCACAAGCGATCCTACAAATTAAGTGGAGCTCAATATGCAACTCCGTTGCATATTGACGAAACACCACGTTCAAGTTATTTAGTTCAATCTCGTTTATGTACCCAACAATATTAAATGTTGTTAAACATGGCAAGAGGATGAAGCAAATGAAAACTACCTATCTAGGCAAGTTTAAATGAGGCCGGAACGACAAAGAACAAGTCCGGAAACTCCTCATGTGCAATTTAAGGATTTGATACTGTTCTGCCCTAAACACAATTGTAGGGTTGTCAAACATGCAAAGAGAAGCCACCATGTTAAACTAGGCAAAATTCTACCCCATTTACATATAAAGTTTGTTACAAACCGAGTTACGGTTAAATAGTTATGAATTGAATCATTTTAGCAAGTTATTTAAGCAAATTTAAACAAACAACATTTTAAACATTTTGAACATGGATGGAAAAGACATATTATGAAACTATACAAAATTCTAAGCAACTTTCATATATAAATCATTTTAATCCGGTGCATAGATGATGAGTTATTATATGCATGAAACAGGAGGTTTTTTCTATAAAAACTGCTGACTCTGGAAAAATATCTACAATCGCAACAGAGGGAAAAAACACTATCAAGCCGA